AAATTAAAAAAAAATTAAAACCAATCATGTTATCAAGTTATAGTCAAGAGTAGATATGCAAATTTAAAAAAATTTAAATTTGTCTGTGGTATATTTTTTGTTTGACAGGTAAAAATTTTACACGTATTATTATTTTTTAATATTAAATCATTGAGTATCTTAGGGGCCGTCCATAAATGATGTCACACGTTTTTTTGATATTTTTAAAATATTATGCACTCTTACAATTATCCAATTAAAACTAGCGATTTAATTTAAATATTTAATAATTGCATAACTAAAAAAAAAGGTTTTTACAATTTTTTTTTATATATTTTACTGTTTTGTTGCAATAAACGTTCAATTTCTAATATAACCTTTGACGTATACATTTATGTTCCCTTAATTAATATATCCTTAAAGGTTGCCATGAAACTTAGATCTATTAAAAATTTATTTGACGTTTGAATTGTCATTTTCAGTATACGTATTCTATAATTTTTGTTTAGTTTTTTAAAGTGTTTTTTATAAACAAAAATGAAAAATTGTACTAAAAGTTACAAAGAAATTCATGAAATTTAACTAAGGACCGGTTTATTCATCTTTAGTAAAGTTTATCGGGCCTAATCTTTAATCTGATTTAAAAAGTTATGGTAATATTTAAATAAAATCGCAAGTTTTAATTGGAGAATTGAAAGTGTGCATACATATTTTTAATAAACATACAATTAAAACAAAATTAACCGTCAAGTTTTTTTTATTTTGCTCTTAAAATTTATGTTATGACCTAATTAACAAGAATATAAAAAAAATTAGGTTTCACAGAAAGTCCAAAAATCACCTCTCAGAACAGCACCATGCATCTGTCACCTGTAATCTCTCACCTGCCATTTATCATCTGTCACCTGTCATTTGTCATCTGCCACCTGTCATATATCACCTACCATATGTCATCTGTTAACTTGACATCTGTCACTTGACATATGTCACCTGTTCACTTGACATCTGTCAAAGTGTTGTTGGATACTTTGTTGGGTTCCCCTGTATACGACGACCCCTTCCTCCTCCCTAAGTGTGTGACATCATTTATGAACGGCCCTTATTACGTTAGATAATTATGATTTTTCTAAACTAATCGATTTTTTTAGAATTGTTTGTAAATAAAATAAGATTAAACAAATCCCTAATTTTTGTTGGCAAAATATCCAATGATGAATTTCAAGAAATCTTATACTTTTTTATGCAAATTTAATTTAAAAAAAGGTAGTTTTTTTGGAATATATTAAATAATAAATAAATTTAAGTTTTTCTACTTAAAAATTAACTAACTAGGTATTTAAAAGTATTAAATTAAAAGACAAATTTTAAAAACACTAACATTTTGCCGATTTTTTTTCTCATATATACATATATATATATATATATATATATATATATATATATTTTATTCTTTACAAAAATTAAATTATTTTTTAATATTTCTCAAGCAGCTCCAAAATTGTAATATATATACCCCAGAGTTTTCAAATTTTTGTCATTTTCAACAACATAATGACCATTTAATTAACAACACGTAAGTGCCTTATTTTCAAATTCTATGACTACTATTTAGCAATAACTTTTTTATTTTTAATGCAACGCCCTGTACCTTTTCATTGATATAACCATTTCCTATACCATACCTAAAGTTAATAATAACAAAGATATTGTACAATTCCTATTATGTATTTCAAATTTTTAAATATTACTTTTTAAATTAATAAACAATCGCTTCTGTTAAAACCGGAAGAGGAATTTTGTTCAAAATAATTTTAAAAAATTATTAATATTCTTTTAAAACCCCGGGGGTTTAAATTTTAAACCCCCTTTTTAAATTAATAAACAATCGGTTCTGTTAAAACCGGAAGAGGAATTTTGTTCAAAATAATTTTAAAAAATTATTAATATTCTTTTAAAACCCCGGGGGTTTAAATTTTAAACCCCCAAACCCCCCGTGCGCACGGGTGTGTCTATTTCAAAACTAAAACAAAATTTGGTTGCCGATTAGTATGTAGCATTTTTTTAAATTAAATCACCAAACACAAAATATTAAGCAACACATTTGAATAGTTTGAACATTTAAATATAAATAAATAAGAAAGTTTAGCATTAAAACAATTGAAAAATATAAACATCAAAAAACATTAAGCAAATACCGTTAAGTGAATGCCTATTGCAAGATTTTTGAAAATAACAATGTCATTTTAAGATAAACAAAACAAATCAAATTATATTGTTTTTTTTGTAGTTTTATCTTATTTTCACGCACCTGTAATGATTTATTTACATAAAGAATATAAAATTAATTGTTTAATGCGTTTAAAGAATTAATTATTAAAAAAGGCTTGTAAAAATGTCCTTCGGCAAAAAATGTTTTTCACAAATACATTTAAATTTTAGATCATTATAATCTAAATCCAATAAAAGTTGATTTCCGGAATTTTTCTTCCAAATTTCACACCGTTCGGTGTCTTTTATTGGAAATTGGAACAATACAAAGCTGGTTTTGCCTTTTTTTAAAAAACATTTGTTATATAAACAAGTATTTGTAGGTAAATTATTCATTTTCGCTAACGAATTAAGAAAAACAACCTACTTCAGCAATTGCTTTGTGCAAACTGAATTAAATTTAATCTAGTCGACCTTCACGATGCATGCGACCGGCGCGGCATAGAAAGTGGGGATGCTGATGACGACGCGTTTCTTACTGTCTCACTCTAACGGTCTCACTCTAATTTAGAATTTAAATCTCAAGAGAAGATCGACGGTGGCGCCTCTAACAACCAGGATCGATTTTGGAGTTATTTTAAATACATTAGACCACGCCTCTTCCCCACTTCTTTACTCAATGATAATACTGATTACCATAATTATAATACCCTTTACTATATTATATATTACTATTTGGGACAACTATCTTGTATATTGCCAGTTACTATGCATATTTAGTAATTTTTAAATATCCATGTATATTAAACCTTAAGGTTATTATTCTCAACCAATTTTGTTTTTAATTCTTATTATAATTAGATAGTAAATTTTAAAAATAAATATAATAGATACGTAACCCATAACAAACTAAATAGTGTATTTTATTATTTTGTATAATACATTTAATTAAATCATATAGTAAATATTACTATTTGTAGATAGTAAAATCAATTTACTATACGAATATATTTAAAATTAAAATACGTATTATACATTTTTGATCTAATAATATTGGTGTTGTAATCTTTACTAAAATTGTATAATAAAAAATACTATTTCGTATTACAATCTTTATATTTTACTGACGAATATTTAATATTGTTAAACTAAACATTTTTTAAAGTAAATTTTAATATATTTTTTTAACTATCTAAAATTTACTATACATTTCTCTCCGTGTGCGACAAAGAAACGCGTAATTTTTAAGTTAATAAGTGTTCAAAATCTGTACTCAAGTGAACTGGCTGAATGACCATTGTGCCTCTAACTATTGAAAATGCGAAGAAAAAAACTGTCAATCTGTCAACCGTTTTTCCACGTTGTGATTTGAGATTATTTATCGTAGTATTGGTGGATTGCGTCACAGTCCCGAAAATATTGATAATCAAGTTATAAGTTGGTTTTATTCATACTTTGCCACTGTAACACCCGAAACGAAAAATCATGTAGTTGTTTTATTATTATACCTTACAGATTGATTAGTGTAATACACGGAGAGAAAAGTATAATACTGATTACCATAATTATAATACCCTTTACTATATTATATATTACTATTTGGGACAACTATCTTGTATATTGCCAGTTACTATGCATATTTAGTAATTTTTAAATATCCATGTATATTAAACCTTAAGGTTATTATTCTCAACCAATTTTGTTTTTAATTCTTATTATAATTAGATAGTAAATTTTAAAAATAAATATAATAGATACGTAACCCATAACAAACTAAATAGTGTATTTTATTATTTTGTATAATACATTTAATTAAATCATATAGTAAATATTACTATTTGTAGATAGTAAAATCAATTTACTATACGAATATATTTAAAATTAAAATACGTATTATACATTTTTGATCTAATAATATTGGTGTTGTAATCTTTACTAAAATTGTATAATAAAAAATACTATTTCGTATTACAATCTTTATATTTTACTGACGAATATTTAATATTGTTAAACTAAACATTTTTTAAAGTAAATTTTAATATATTTTTTTAACTATCTAAAATTTACTATACATTTCTCTCCGTGTAATATTGCTGTTAAAGAGGTGTGACTGCTTTTCCGATGGTGTTGTCGAACCTACCGAAATTCGGTATTTCTACCAAAATGGCAACGGACCTACCAAAATACCGAATACGCAATACAATCGCAATCGAAGCTGCTTAAGTTAGGTTTAAGGAGAATTCATTCCATTCATGTTTATTTGTTACCAACTTATTTTGTAGTACCTAAAAACTAATAAAACACCGATGTTGCCCATATAATTTTTGTACTTGGAACACCCGAAACAAAGAAAAATTTTATAAAAAAAATAGTAAAACATTATTTGTGACAGTGATTATGTGGTAGATAGTTAGTAAATATTATACTTTTGAAGGCCTGTAATTTTTAGGAATGTTTCCCTAAGAAAATTCGCTGAATTTCAAATAAATGTAACAATGGTCAGGACAGAGAGGCAAAATCGTGAAACCCCCGAAATGCATACTTTTTGACATATAAAATCGTTATCCTATATGCTAAATTGTACTAATTTTACAATTTTGATAAAACAACTAAAAACGTAGAGAATAAAGCACTTTAATTGCTAAAATGTTATTTCAAAATACATCAAAATGTAGACTTTGTTTAAACAAATGTAGCACCCAAAACCATGGACCCTACAGTTAATCTAACCATAATTTAATTCCTCACTTATTACAAAATAACGTTACGTTAATTTAACCAGTTTTAGTACTTGGAAAGTTCCGTCATCTTACCTTTGGCTTTTCTTCTGCTTTATCCTGGGGTCCTTGTCCATGGTAGCGGCCGTACCATTGTAATTGACCTTGGTCCAGACCGCCTCGTTGAGTGCATCTGGCAAATCGACTCGACCTGCAAAGGAAACCGAAGAGATCGCTTTAAACGTAATGAAATGTGTGTGTAATTGCGAATCGCGCCGATTCACAGAAAAAACAACGGGGCCCGCCGTAAGGCGTGCGACCGCAAACCCGATGCCCCTTTTTCGTTCGCGACAGTGCCGTAACCAAGTTCTAGGACTTTTATCTTGCTATTAAAAATTCAGCAGGTAGTAGTACCTGTAAAAACTGATAATATTTGAAGACATTATCAAGAAATAAATTTTAAATTAATAAAATATATTTTTTGGTTTAGATTTTTTAGAGATGAGAATAAAACACGATAGCCAATCTCAATACATGGCCATAGGGAATTCATTAAATTGCTAGGATACTTAGGATGCACGAAAAAAATGTTTTCTAAATTCTTAAAAAAATTCACTTGATTTAAGTATAATTTGCTTAGGCTACGAATACATTAAATTACTTTTAAATATTAACCTATCCTTAAATTAAAAAGATTTTATTTCTTAGCTTAAAATCAAGTAGGTTAAAACAAGATAATTGACCTAATATTGTCAAGGCTAAAAATAACATTAAACTAAATATTAATCTTTCTTTAAACAAGCAGATCCTATTCTTGCCTATTAAATGTTAAGAAAGACTTTAAATTAAATAATCTTATTCTTAATTTAAGATTAACAATCGATTAGACCAAATTTTGGAAAATTTCCTCTATTCTGTTCTTAAAGATATAAAACTATAATATAATATAATTATATTTATTCTAAGATTAGTAAACATTGGTGCGACTGGCTAATTCTTAAAAATATCCCCCACTCACGAAAGTGTCCGACATTTTGGAAGATTGTTTCTTGTGTTAATTAATATTTGGTTTGGAATTATGAAGGAGATCCTAAATTAGTGGAATTTGATAGAATTAACCACCAAATGTATGTGTAGGTAATAATTATTACCTAATTATATTTATGTGTGTAGTATTATGTATTGAATTTTAGATGTTTGAGTGATATTAGGTTGGCCGAAGAATCGCATAAAAAACAATTATGTATATTTTACCTCTAGATTACAGGTACGAATAAAAATGTCGGTTAAACGGGCCAATATATATAGCCAAAAAATGTCCGCCTCGCAAACAAAATCAACGTGTCTGAAGGTTCGATAAAATCATTGCAGTATATTATATACATATTTAGGTAGATAGGTATTTAAAAAATTGTAAAAAAATTATGTATTGAAGACAATGCTATAGACCAATATAATTTTTTTCAGGTTAAGTTAACCAATAATTGTTTTAAATATTCTCTATTCTTTTTTTAACTTTTGCTCGACTTTAAAGGTTAGGATATAATGACCATGTTTATTTTAAAAGAGTGGATTATCCTATCTATTTTTCTTAGTCTTAGTTTTTATTAGTCTTAGAAAAAAAGAGATAGCATAATCCACTATTTACCTTTTGAAATAAACATGGTCATTATATCATAACCTTTATTTAAAGTCGAGCAAAAGTTAAAAAAAAGAATGGACAATATTTGAAACAATTATTGCTTAACTTACATAAAGATACCTTATATTTAATCCAAAAGTAAATATTGTATCGCCAAGAATTATAACATTTGTATAAAAAAGAATACGTATTCTTAAATTAAGCATAGTGTATATTTTATTTGAGGGTGCTTGCATTTAAAATAATATGATAGTTTTTCTTGAAATAAGAATAATTTTACCCTTGCACCTAACATTGAAATTATATCCAAATTATTATAGCATTGAGTAAAGTTCTTTACTCAATGATTATAGGTTAGTTCTTGCATTTCCCCATATCCCTCAAATAAGTATTAATTTAAATTACAAATAAGAATAAATCAATCCTTAAATAATAAGTATCTATACTTGCAAAATGGTGAAATGAACAAATACTTGGACTGAGATGATTAATCTTTACTATAGAATAGCTTTTTTTTGTGTAGGTACCTACAATTATTATTTACAGGCACTGTATGCAATTTGTTTCTTCATTCGGATTTCCAGTGTTCATTGGAAACAAACGCGTTTGACAGCTGCCTATAAAAAGTGATAGTTTTGTTACGATGATGGCGGCCACGTGGTGGCGCCACTAGTGAAACTTCTTTGGCGTATACAGGAAAAAATATTTAAAAAGATGACTGAAAATCGAAAACGAATGTAAAGGTAATATTAAAGAGGCCGTTCATAAATTACGTCACGATGTTAGGGGGGGAGGGGGTCCATGAAAACGTGAAAAGTTGTGACATGGGGGGAGGGGGGTTACATCAACTGTTACGTAACGTTGGTTCGGTTTTTATGAAAATTCCCATTTTTTTTATAATTTAAAAACTTGCCGGCAATTTTTTTTATTTATTTATGTATTTATAAAAATTAAAACATTCAAATAGAGTTTTCTGCTCAGTCCATCTCTTTAAGTCTATGGTTTTAACCATGGTGTTTCCTAAGAAGATTATATAATCTTCTAGTGTTTCCACCATGGCTAGAAAACTTTAATGGAAATCTACCTTCATAGATGGCACTAAAGTGGTGTATAGAGGTGAGTAAAAACAAAATCGTTAAATAATAAAACAAATATTCATGTTTCACGCAAAAATCGGTAGAAATAACGATACATAGAAGTATAATACACTTTTATGTATCGTTATTTCTACACTTAGTGTATCGATACAGGGTTTTTCAGAACGTATCCATATAGTATTGATATTGTATTGTAACGTCAAGATACATACACCTTAAGATAGGATGGTGCCCATGTTGGGCGGGGCTTAAATACGTCACTTGTTGAGTGTTTTTAAATCTTTAACGTGCTTTTTAATTATCTGATGCTAAAATTCTTGTTTTTGCTAGGCTGTTGGATGTTAACTTGCTCTATTTTTTGTTTAACTAGTTGTTTTTTCGTTCGGTTACCGAACTTCGGTAAGGTTCGAATTACTTTTCAGTGTTCAAATTATTGTTATTGCGTTGTGTTAACCTATTCTGTTTGGAAAAATCCTTTAAATAAAAACATTAAATTTCATCGATTCCCGAAAAACTTTGATTTGTGCAAACAGTAGTTAAATGCCACAAAAATAATAGACAATATTAACGTTAATACCGCTTCTGTTTTCTATAAACATTTTCTGGACAGCGACTATAAATTTAATTTAAAACACCAACGCTTAAACTACTGCCCTTAATGTTATCAAGGACTGAAAGCATGTATTATCCATATTATAACACTTTCTTCAATATTAAGTTTAATAAAAACGCACCATGTCCAGATATTTCTCTTTTTTTTGTTAATAAAATTAATATTATTCGTGTATTCGCACGGCAACTACTCATCAAGTGACGTCATGCACGGCAAGAACCAAAACTCGTACACGGGACTCCTGAGACGGGGGCATCCAGCCCTGTTGTAACGTTAACCAATCTCTATTCCCTGTTAAAATGTCAAAATCATCTGAACTTTTTTTTCTATGTGTAATGTTTTGTGTTTGTTGTAATGACGGTCTTATTCGGTCTTATAAGAGCGTGGTTGTAATCATTGATGTCAGTTTTTATCTCTGGTTTTTATTGCCGCCCCCACTGACCCTTTGTAATAAAAAAATAATGGTGGACTTAAAATTGATGAATGAATGAATTAATTTTAAAAAGAATTTATTTTTGTTAGGTATGTTTAAAGAATTTATTAAATTTTATTTTTCTGAATACATCCTGTTCTAAATGGGGGGGTTGCAATTTGTGACGTAATTTATTTAGGGGGGTGTCATTAAACGTGACAACATGTGAAGGGGGGTCAAAAAAGGTCAAAATTTGCGTGACGTAATTAATGAACGGCCCCAAAAGCAATAAATGGATAAATTTTATAAAAAAACCGGTCGTTTTAAAACATATTGGAAAATCGTGTATACAAAAAAAACAAAATAAATAAGCAATAGATTCTATAACTATCATTTTACTTGAATTTATTTTATTACATGTAAAAATATAAATATTTAAAATTGTAAAAAATTGAAAAAAGTATCATTTTCTTCGTAGCCTAGTTACGGCACTGATAGCAACCGATTCCCGGTAGATGATCAAACGGTTGAACCGGTGAACAACGATCGCAATTCTAAGCAGAATAGAAAATTGTCCTTCCTGACAAAGATGTTCGATGTCGTTAAAATACAGAGAGAAAAAAAACGAAACAACTTTTGTTAACAGCGCACTGCAGTGTAGCCTATTAGGTTGCATGTTGTATTTTTTCCGTTTGTTCGTTTGATCTGATTTTTTTTTCACATTAATGATTATAAAGTTGGTAGAACGGAGTGGTTATCTCGGAACTAACTAAGAGAATTTTGCAAGTAATGGTTTTTAATTAATTATCTTTTGTGGCTTATATATTCTATACATATATGTAGGTATATACAGGGTGATTTAAAAAACGCATACACGTCAACTTTAATTTTTAGGGAGACATATTTTTCAATGGAAGTTGTCATCCTTTAAGAGGATAATAGTACACGACAAAATAAGAATTTTTTTTTAATAAAAAAATCATTAAATTTTTTATAAGTAAAGTAGAAATTTTGGGCCGCCACTGGTTGTTCCTGACCTATGACAAATGACGCAAAATATGCTTGCACAGTGGGCAATAATCAACATTAATTAAAAATTTACATTTGTGTTATCATTGATTACTTTGTGGATAATTGTTTTTTCCCGTCGATTTTAGTTTTTTTACGTCGATTGATGCTCACGTAGCTGTTCCACAAAATCATAATAAATATTCAACTATCCCGCCGTTATTATCCACACAAAGTTGACAGCGGCGTAGAAAATTATGTGTCGCTCTTGCTATCATATCCGGATGATTTCGGATTTCATCTGCCGCTTCAGTGACAAGTTCGCGGAGTTGTTCTAATGAGTCAACTTCGCTCTTGTACACTAAACTATTCATGTAGCCCCAAAGAAACCACAATAACAACCGAACTGTCAGTAATCAATGATAACAAAGTACCTACTAACCGATTTTGAATAAGTTTAAAAGTTTGTTTGATATTACATAATACACTGTGCGCATACCTGCTTGGATGAATAATATCATTGTTTTAAAGGTAAAAACAATGATGATATATAGGATAGGTCAGTGACATCCAGTGGCTCCCTGGTTTTGTCAAAAAAATATTATATTTTTTTTTCATTAAGAAACAGTAGCTTTAATGCAAAAATGATAGAGGAAAAACTTTATTGTTTTGGCGTGTACGATTATCCTCCCAAAGGAGGACAATTTATTAGGTTACACCCTGTATGCATTAAGTATAAAAGCAACTCCCCTTACCCATTTCCTGCTCGAACCTCCTAAATGTAAACTCTTCCAGTAAATAGAACAAAACTTGAATTTCGATATTTTTTTCAAACATGGTCGCGCGAGTATGTCAAATATATTGTTATTATAGAAATTTTTTTATTTTTTATATAGAAATAATGAAATAAATGAAATAATAACCGTTGTTTACCTGCAAAGGCTTCGCAAAAGAGCCTTAAATCGTGACCGACCGCGATTTTTTTATCTTCTGAAATGTAGGTAAACTTTGGATCTTCCGGAACCTTATCTGAAACATGAAAAAAAACAATTTAAATTATCGTATAACAAGCCAAAAACATAAACAATTTGTTGTACTATGGTAAATACATCTGCCATTCAAAATGGAACATTTTAGTTCGTAATGGGGTTGGGACATGATGTCAAAAATCAGTGTTAAACTACTTTTACCATAAAATTACTTTAATCGATAAATTATCTCGGTAGCCATGTCAAGTTTTACGAATGATTTGTATATTATGTCTACTTAAGTTGGCAACATATGGGAAACTTTTTTATTATTAATTTTACGAAAAAAAAGTTCTGCATGTTCTAAAATCTAAAATAAAATCATCAGATATCAAATATTTTCACCCATAATATATATAACAAGTGGTATGATTATTATCGATGATATTTTCAAATTGAAACCGAGCTGCAGATTTCACGAAACAAATGATTTATTCGAAATTCTTGACAAATCTGTTAATAAAAAAACTATAACGCAATAAATTGTTGGAGAAAAGTAGGAAAAAATTGTTAATAGCAAACATAGATTTCAAATATGAAATAAAAAAATGCATGTTCCATCCCCATTAGTTCGAAATTGCGAAGAGCCTTTGAATTAAAATATCCTGCTTATGATTGAGTGGCAATTTGTTTTTTTAATGGGAGCATTTGATATCAAAGGTTTTTGCCGACAATATAAACAAAATATAATTCCGTGAAAACACGCAGATAAATTATTTGCAATAAAAGTTTGTCAGGATTTCATCACTGAATTTATAGGGATTAAAAAATGTTTATTTCGCAGTTTATTCTGACAATGTTGTTGAAATTTTAAAACATCTTCATAAAATAACCTACTCTCTTAAAATGAATTAGTCAAAATTAAGTAATTATAAGTCAGATTTGACTAATTGTCATAGCGAAAAAGCAGTCACTAATAATTAGTCAAATTCTATTGAATGAAATAGGTAGTCAAATTAGTAGATTTAAATTTAAAAAAAGTTTTGATCCAGCCGGGGTTTGACTTCGGGTCTGTCGCTTGTCAAGCGTATGTCATAACCAATGAGCCATCAGTCACTTTTATAATATTTTAAAGTTGAATATATTTTTTGTGTTGCTGTTTTGAGCTAAACTTTTTGCATCTTTGTTTGTATTTATGGGTCATTTAACCATGGAGCCGCGAACGATTAAAGAAATTAGTTACTTTTAACTCTCAGAAATAAACAAAAGTGATAAATAATCTTAAATTAGTCAAACTTTAACCACTTCAGTTGTAAAAAATAACTATTTAAAAGTGAAAACGTATTTTAGTAGTAAAAAATGCTGGTACTAATTCAAATAGTAGAATTTTGACTATTTCATTTTAAGAGAGTAGGTATAGCTAAAAGAAATAAAAAATTACACAAAATATAAAAAAATAATTAGATTTGTATATAAGTTTGATTTGTCATTAGAATTACCATTAACGCGTTTCCACGAATCAGATACGAAGTTTACCACGTGACAGACAACCCCCAGCGGTAATTGTGTATTTTTTGCATAATAGAACTTCCTGGAAAGCAATTTTATGTTTTCCGTTCTCGGTATGCACTCATTGTTTTTGCGATTACGTATATTTATAATGTAAATCGTTATCGAATGTAAATACGTTACTTTTATACAAAATCGGTAAAATAATTTGTTTTTGGAGATATGTTTATCCACAAATTTTTTTTCCGAGAATTTTTGTTTAAAAATAACTTTACATGTTAATACTAATACATAGAAAGATAAGAATTGGTATTGATTATAATTTGGAAATTACATAATTTATAAACTCGCCTAGGTTAAACTTGGAAGCTTTAAAAATTGCCAGGAGACGATAGAACCGGATAGAACATTGTTGTCTTAAAACTTTTAAAAATTTTTTTGTCCGACTGTGTTAACTAACCTTTTTAAAAGGAATGTCATACTTCAGGGCTACATTGTTTTAGAGTAAAAATTAAATAACTAGTTCTGTACCCCAGATCCAAACTCTCTAGCAACCACTACAGAATTCCACTCTAACGGGATTATTTTCCGGCTGCAGGTGCGAAAATGCTTGCGAAAATGAACGTCCTTCATAACCCGCTAAACTGCGAACGGGAAATTCGCGTGCAACTTCCCTTATGCTCTTCCTACTACTTGCATCAAAGGCATTTAAAATAGCTTCTTTATTTTCGTGCTGCCTCCCTAGCATTGCGCCCATACTCAGGAAAACATTACTTAAAATTATAAATAATGACAGAAACAAAAATTAACAGCAGTGTCACAATGAAGTGGATTCCGGTCGATCAAATATTTTACATATTATAATATCAACAATGCATCCTAAGTATCCTAGCAATTTAAAGAATTCCCTACTTTTTAAAACTGTCCAATTTTTTAAGGCGATATTATTCATTAAACAAAGGACCAATTAGGCAATAAAAATCCCCGTATCCTCCCACAGGAGCGCGTCCCACGCGTATCCGGTAAAAGCAGTGTATGTCCCCATTCGCAGCAAGTTGAAATTTTGTCCAGGTGTTAACACGACCTGACACAATGTAGGGGTATATTTTTTAAATAGTTGGCACTTACTCGCCATTTCTGCATGATAATTATTGCAAGGCAGCGGTATACTAATCGGACATGTGGGATATTTCAATGCATAGGCGTAGAGAACAGGAATTAAATCAGAAAAAAATTGCCACAAGGTTTAATAAATTTAACGTGTTTTTTATAATAATTGTTAAATTATTAAGAAATATTTGAAAAATGTTAATTATAACTTAATTTATGATATAATATTAAAAATATTTTTATTGTAATTTAGACAATATAAAATTTAAGGATAGATTCTACTGGTTTAAAAAAATCATATCAATAATTGATATTATTAACTTAAAAACACACCGAGAATTTGTTTTGGGAATGGTACACTTTTCCCAATTTTTTTATCCCTTCAAGTGGTGAGATTTGTAGAGGTCCTTAAAATAGTAAACAGTTGGACTAAAAATAACTTTAAAGTAAAAATTGTGCCCATTGTGCCACCCCACCTACAATTTAATTTTATCAAAACGGTTAATAAATTCATCCCACATAAATAGATATGGTGTCAAGCTAGATATTATTTTCATTGCCCAATATCAACCAATGCTACTTCTAGAATTTCAGCTTTTGACGTAGTTGGTAGTTTATGAATGATCTAGTTAGTCTTGTACTTATCTACGCAGTCGACCGGTTAAGCGACTTTTTTTTGTTACAAGTGCAATTGAATTTTTAAGGCAAAGCTTAAAATAACGCAGTGACTAAGTAAATTAAATATTAAATAAGTGTGATGAGCTCATATTTAATACTGTTAGGCAGCTAAAAAATGCACTGTAAATATCTGTTCACAATAGTTTCAAGCTATTAAATAAATATAAAATAAATAAGTAGTTGTTTATATTACTATTACTATATAACTATTAAAAAATAGCAACGTGTTTAACAATGGTATACTATGTGTATCAAGTTTTATAAACAAAATTTTAGTAACAAACGAGTGTTTAATAAAAACGAGTGGCTATAGAGAAGTGACATAAATAACTATTAAACACTGTTTTACATTTAAAATGAACGTTCTTGTAGGAACATTTACTTGGTCAATTTCTTACTTACCAAAAACCACAAACATTATGGTGTGAGTTAGGTAAACAGTGTCGTTCCTGATTACACAAGTGTAGTTTCCTGCATCGTCTTCAGTTAATTGTTGAGTGTAAATCGTTTGATTCGCTAATTCTGGGTAAATGATGAACGAAGCCTGAGGCCACGGTAATAATTTGCCATCTTTGTACCTGAAAAAAAAAACATTAATATTTATTTTATGATCTACATAAAAAGTTTTTTATTGGTTCTTGAAAAATAATTAATAAATGGAATCCTCTACGATTTTAGGATTCTATGAGTTTTTTATTTTTATATAAGAATTCGAAGTAAATTGGAAATTCCAATTTCAGATTTTCCACCAAGGCCAAGAAATGTTGGGTTGACGTTAAAGATAACCAGGTGTTTTTAACATTACGCTTGAACAATATTCATCACTTATTAAAAGTCAGAAATATCAATTATTTTAATTTTTTTAATGAAAGATTATCCGTTAATATTTTTTACAATGCTTTGTTTATCTGAATAATAATTCAATTTATTCCACACCGTTACAGCTTTAGTCATAGCTTTAGGTAGTGAAAGTTTGTTCCGGTTTAAGACACGGCTCATCAATGTTTAACATGTTTTTTAGTTCTTAGAATAAATTGATTGATTTAACTGTTTAAGCTTGGATGATATGAAAAAATTAATTAAAAATTATTTGGAAATGTATGTATCGTTTAATATTCCTAAACAATAGTAGAGTTCAATTTATTATAGTAAAGAGTACAGGACTTAAGCTGAGCAAAGAACCGATTTTTGTAAAAGCTGCCACTGGTATAGAACGAATTGCTGAGGCATGATAGAGACAATTATGTTTGCGCAGGAAGTAATGACGTCACTGTACTCTTCACCAATACATTAAAAAATGTATACCTATGGCTCAAATCTTGTCATGTGTAACGTAAACCAGGACACTTTATAACATCCATGTATTATATTTTTAAGTTACCTTAGAGTACATAAAACATGGATAAGAGCATAAAAATATTTCAAAAACTACACAGAGAAAAATCCGTTTGAAAAACATTGCACAAAGTTGTGCAACATGGCATTGGAGCATAATTTTCTATAAATGTGCTACGTCATCATCCAAGATAGTTGGATTGGTTTTTCTAATTAGTTTGTTTAAGTCAATTTTCTATAATTTGTTGGAAACAGTAAGATTTTATATTTAACCATTTGCACAATATTGTCAAGAAAAGAGTTGAAATCTGTTAAAAATATTTCAAAAATAAATGTTACACTTTTGTACAATTTTCTTAATAATTCGTATAAATATATTTAAGTTAGAATATAAATTTAAGAATATTGGACAATTTGTTCGGGTGTGAAGCATCACACCACCTAAGATAACCAATGAAATGATTTCCTGCTTGAAATAAGACGCCGGCCGGTCGCTCAACTGCAATCTGTATCATCAGTTTGCAGTTTTAGTTAGTTTAGGAAGTATATTATTGTGAGGTTAGTACCACATTTCTGGTGAGTAACTGAATATTATTTTTCTGAATAGGTAGGTAGGTATATGCAAAATTGTCCAGGGGCTGGGATAAATCAATAATTATGACCTGGGGATCAAATGAGGATAAAAAGTGTTTCTATGTTCCTACTGTGCTACATTATTGATCAGCTTACTATTTACTTTAATTTGTAATTTATGTTTATTTTATGTTTTCAGTTTATATTAACTTAATTTTTGTTTTGGTAGCTGAATACACAATCTATCGACATTTGTACTATTATAAGTGGAGACGCACTTCATGTTGAATTATATCTCAATATTATTAGAATTAGCTATACAAATTTTATTTTTCCTTTGGTTGTTTATATTAAGTTTAGGTATTCTATTTTCCATATTTTTGTATAAGTCGCTGAATACATAGGTATCTAAATAATTTAGTTTCATTTTCCTTTTTACCACCCTCGCATTGCAAAATTTATTAAAATTTTTAAATAAATTAGGAAAATTATTATTAAACAATGTTGTGTTATTATGTGCCACATTTTGTGCAATTTCACCACAAAATATTATATTAAAAAAGTCTCTAAAATACTCATTTACTTACACAAATTATATGAGCCGATTAGATTAAAATATGTTCAAATGTCAAATAAATAATGTAAGTTTTAAATATAATAAGTTTACAATTATTTTCTACAATTTAGCACAAATTGTTCCTATCACCTTTTTAGCACCAATTTGTTGAACAAATTATGAAACCAAATCCAACAAATTTTTCTCTGCGTAATTGTGTACCTACTGATAGCTCTTTTCCGATAACTAATGACAATCGCAAATATTGTCATTGTGTAAACAAATAATCAGCACACAAACTTCAATTCATAGAACCCATTCATTTGGTCGTTCATCCTGGCAACGGTCAATATTTGCATTCGCTAACGAAATGTAAAGCGGAACCACGCTCGCCTCTATTCTGTTATTCCCACACACCTTTACAAAATACACACAAACCAAAGTTAAATACCAAACGGCGCACCGACAAACGATCTGCTAATTGGTCGAGGTTTTTTGATTTTTTTTTCAAAGGAAAATCGCATGTTTTGGCCCAGTTCAAGTTTGTGTTTGGCAAATGTCAGGTTATGTCAAGGTAATTTTAATACAGTTTATTTTTTATTATTTGACTATGTTGGAACACTAATAAAATCATAGAAATACACAATAAAAATGTTTTGTTCATTTTAACAATTTGTAGACCCAGTAACAAAAGTATTTTTTGAAAATTAAGAACTTAAACGAAAAAAATTGTTTTATTATTAAATTTCCTAAACGAAAAAATTAACGCATACCTACACAAAAATAACATACACACAATTATATAACACACCATTCTGAAATCATCAAATTATAAAGAAATTTGGTACAATATAACTACTACAACACTTACTGATGTATTTCGTAACTTTAACCCACTTCATTGTATCCCTGCACTTCGCACACTCATTAAATAGGTACTTATAAGGAATCCGAATAACAATAATAACAGATTTCTGGTAATATATTTTAAAGACACTCTGAACAGTTGTTACGAATTACAATAAAGTAAGCAGAAACATAAGTTGCAGTTGAACTTGTTGATGCGTATTGTTAGTGGAAAATGTTTTGATTGACTGCCTGAAATCACGTGTACTTTTTTAACGAAATAATTTGTTAAACATTAACAAAATAATCTGTAACCTTTAAAATTATCAAAATGCTTATTATAATAAGCATTATGTCAAGATTTTACAAAATAAAATTAAAATACTACAAACTCATGTTAACAAATTTGATTTATAATATAACAATGTATTAAAAGAATGCCCATTGTTAAAAACAGTTCTTAATTAAACTTGGAATCCATATAAACTATTGTGCTTCCAAGAACTGAATATTTATTTACTCAAACCCTATCAAATCAAATATTTATGCTATAAAGTATTTATTTATATATTTACTTGTATAAACACGTTTCCAACAAAACGAAATATCTTTATTTGCACATTTTAAAAAGGCTTGTTAATCAGATAATTTCACAGCTGCCTTTGTCAAGGGCAAAAATCTCAAAAAGGCCCATCCTACCTGAAATGTTTTTTGATTTCGGTAGTTTTATTGACAGCGGGAGGCCGTTCTAACGAGAATTTGCTCGCCAATTGTAATTTATTGTATTATTTTGTGAATAACCAGGTATGCCAACCTAAGGGCTGTTTTGTTCATTGATCTTTTCAATGTTCTGTGAATTATGAACTAGCTCTGCGGTAACTTTAAGAACAGGGAAATGTATCACTTACTAGTAGTAAGTTAGTTACACTCTAGATTATTCGCATTATTCATCCTCGTGAATAATGAACAGCCTGCATTATCTCTCGTATAAGAATATACTATTTCTTAATTTTAAATTTTATTTCGCTCACGGGCTTTACTATAAATTGGAAAAAAGTTAGGTTAAAAAGGCTTGGCAGTTGACAGATGTCAGATGAAATATTTAACAAAATTTGCTAACAAAGTTTTGGTGAGATTTTTCCCGAATTTTGGTACTACTTAGAGTTTCCAAAGATGTTTAACATTCACGATTTATTATTTTTTTAATTAACAGTTTAAGAAAAACCTGGTGAATGTATTTCTAAAAATTAATTTATGATAAAAATTTGCAGTTTTCTGAAAAAAACAGTCACAATTTTATATCTGGTTAAATTTAAAAATCATTTGATTGACATAATAGTTTTTTATTATTTTTTAAAATTTTAATTTCTATTAATTTAAAAAAAGTAGTAAGTTAATTTCTATTAATTTAAAAAAAGTAGTAAGTAGGTATAATGGTTGGTGTTGGGGAATATTTCTAATATTTGTTTTGTTAAATATAACCAAACAGTTTGGTCCAAACTTGTCCTATTTCAAGTAAAAATATTCATGTTCAATATTCAGCATTTGAAAAAAAAATGATGTTCGTGATCTTTCGCATGTTTCTAAAATTCTGACTAAATAAAATTATGAACAATTCATCATTTTAATTTATTTACGATTAAGGTTTTGATGAGATCTTCATCTCTTCCGTTTCATGAATTACAAAACCATTGTTTGCGGTAACTTTAGTATGTAAATATTTTAATAGGAATTGTTACTTGATGTAAGTAGACAAAAACCTGACGATAAAAATATTGGCTTCTTTTCCTGGAACTCGTAGGATATGACGGGATTTTAATCAGAATTTTTAATTGTTGCGATGAATCGTGTATTTTCATTTTAAAAGGCGTTCTATTATTATACGCGACGGATGTTCAATTGATTGCATGAATAATTTTCCAGCTCACAATGCTACACAATTGGATTGAATGTTCAGAGTATTTATAGGTGTTTTCAAAAAAGTGTGATAATCTGTTTCGTAATTAATTACTTTAAAATTACATTTCATCGATTTTTAGAATACAGAGAAACAAGGACTAGTGCAGTCTTCTTTTGTTTTTGACCAATCATTTCAGTCCCAATGAAATAATAAAAATAAATTAAAATACATTTATTTTTTCAACTTAAATAGTAAAATTCTGGTCCCCTAAAAAGCTTCAGGCATATGATATCACCATTGTTTTCGGTCGGTCTAAAAACAATGGTAACAATCCTAACATGTAAAATGGTTCAGTATCAGTGTCAGAA